GTAGGGTAGTCTGAGTAGAGCGGTTCGAACTCTGGCGGGCTGCTCTCTTCGCTGTACAGCAGCGCCTTGTACAGAGACACTATACCATTCGTCTCGCACGAACCTGCAGCAGCAGCAGCAGCAGCAGCAGCAGCAGAGGCAGCAGCAGAGGCAGCAGCAGAGGCAGCAGGAGAAGCAGCAGAAGCAGCTATATCTATGTAGCTAGCTAGGTAGGTAGGTAGGTAGGTATATAGCCCCCTAGCTAGCTAGCTAGCTAACTAGCAATCTGAGTATCTATCTAGCTAGCCAGCTACCTACATAGCTAGCTAGCTAGCTAGCTAGCTAGCTAGGTGGGCGTTGATTACCTGCAAGTCTGTAAGACTGAGTGGTTGAGTAGAGAAGAGCTCTCTTAATTTTATTTGCAGGTCTGCTGCTGCCTCTGAGACACGAACCCATAGGGAAGTAAGCAAAGACAGGCAGCTCTACGCTGTCTGTCTTGCTAGCTAGTGGCTGACGCTGCAGCAAATGCTTTGCTCCCTCATCCTGCTGCTGCTGCTGCTGCTGCTGCTGCTGCTGCTGCTGCTCCTGCTCCTGCTCCTGCAGCTCCTGCTGTTGCTGCTGATGGTGCTGTTGATAGTCTTCCTCTTCGTCCTGCTGTCGCTGTGGACGCTGCTCTTGCTGCTGCTCTTGCTGCTGCTGCTGCTGCTGCTGCTGCTTAAGCCTGCGCTGGGGGTTGTCTCTTAAGTTGTAGCTGTAAGTGCGGGGGCCGCGAAAAGACTGCGGAGAGTGCAGCAAAGCGAGAGAAGCATCTCCGAGTGTCTCTTCACTTCCTTTTAGAGACAGCATTATCTGCAGCAGCAACAAAACAACTCCTGCTGCTCCTGCTGTTGCTGCTGCTGCTGCTGCTGCAACAAAACAACCAACTGCAGCAGCAGCGAAAATACTAATGCAGCAGTACCATCACCAACAGCAGCAGATGCAGAAGCCATTGCAGCAGCAGTTGCTGCTGCATCTGCATGAAGAGACAACAGCACCACCTGCACCACCAGCTGTAGAAGCAGCAGCCGCAGCAGCAGCAGCAGCAGCTGCTGCTGCTGCTGCTGCAGCGATTGTTTATTTTTCCTTGCCTTGCCGCGCTGCAGCAGCTCCCCCCAAATAGCAACAGCAGCTCCAGCAGCCAAAGCAGCAGCATACGATGTACCGTCAACAAAGCCATAGCCTGAAGCAGCAGCAGCAGCAGCAGCAGTAGAGCAGTAGCAGCAGCGGCAGCAGCAGCAACAGCAGCAGCAGCAGCAAAGTAAAAGGCACGACCCCAACAGCAGCAACAGATGCACCAAAACGGCCTCAGCAACAGCAGATGCAACGGCAGGAGCAGCAGCAACAGCAGCATCAGCAGCTGCAGTAGCAGCAGCAGCAGTTTTACAGTTTGTGCATGTGATGCCGGGGGGCGACCCCTGAACCACCGTTGCAGTGTACAGACGGTGCCCTGCAGCAGCAGCAGCAGTAGCAGCAGCAGTGAGACGGCCAGCAGCAGCAGCAACAGTAGGAGCATCAGCAACACCAGAAGCATCAGCAACAGGTGGAACAGCAGCAGCAGCAGCAGCAACAGCAACAGCAGCAGCATCAACAGCAGCAACAGCAGCAGCAGAAACAGCAGCATGCTTTTTCTGTCGATTCCCTGTCCCAATTAGCTTCACGCCAATTACCGTTCAGGCTTTAGCTTTCAGATTTGGGATTTACGATTTACGATTTAGGGTTTAGGGTTTAGGGTTTAGGGTTTAGGGTTTACCGGGTGCGAAGAGGTGAACGGATTGCTTCCCGTAGTTGCTGGTGCGGGTTTTGCTGCCAGCATAAGTGCTGCTGCCAACAACAAGAAGGCCTGAAGGCTCTGGTATGTGAAAGGAAGCAGGAAACGACCTGCACATACACCCCAAACCCTAAACCCTAAACCCTAAACCCTAGGGTTTGAGGAGAGGATTACGGTGGTGCGCCTGCACCATTCTCACGCTTCATTTTTTATCCTCAAACCCTAAACCCTAAACCCTAAATCGGCTCTTCGAAGCCCGTACAGTACAGAGAAAACGTGCTGGGTAGGCCTCCACGGGATAAGGGTTTAGGGTTTAGGGTTTAGGGTTTAGGGTTTAGAGGTAGTTCTTACTTGCACTCGTCTAGGTCTAAATCGCAGTCATCATCCCCCGCAGCAACAACAGCCAAATGGTTTAAAGACAAAAGTTTTTCAAATGCCTCCCGATACACCGCACTCTCTCTGAGGCTCAAACCCTAAACCCTAAACCCTAAACCCTAAACCCTAAACCCTAAACCCTCGACCCTAGTTTGTATTACGGCGCTTTATACCATGAAACTCAAATAAAGTTGGAGTATGGCTTAGAAAATCTCCTGCCTCAGGATCTTGGTTCTCGTTAGGGTTTAGGGTTTAGGGTTTAGGGTTTAGGGTTTAGGGTTTGCTGACGTCTCGAGGCTGAAGGGGTGTACAGACACCTGAGCCCCCTGCTGCATAACA